ATTGCTCTGCTCAGCATCGGCTTGTCGTGCTCTAGAAGAGAATGAACTTTGCTGTGTGTAGAAATAAAACATGGTCAGTTTCTGGAAAATAAAAGCTTGTTCCTTTAATCTATTTGAAAGCTTTGGTACATCAAAATCCTGTCAAGAAGAGGTTCCTTGATATAATTGGTGTGGACACTTGCAAAGGTCCTGATGTAGACCTTTGTCAAAGAGCAGTTCCTGAGAGGCTGCAAAGGGTCATGAGCAAGGGACATGCTGGGAAGCACCACAACATGGGATGGGAGCCCTGAGGCATCCCTCTGCTGCCAGCCCCTCACAGCAGCGTGCCCGGCCCCACAGCCAGGAGCACCACTGGCAGGCCTGAGGAGAGGAGGGCTGCAGGGTGCACCACCAGGGCCAGGGGAGGGGCCCAGAGGGGAAAGGCCGCAGAAACATTCTGACATGGACTCAAAGGGATTCCACAGAGACACAAATGGATTCCCACGTGGATGTGTCCTCGAATAGATGGTGCTTGTGCAAACCAGGGGAGCCTAGATAGGCTGCCATCTCTTTAAAGGAAAACTCCATCTGGGACCATAGGCAGCTCACCACAGTCCTTCACTTTGGGCTGCAAATACCTGCTGTTATCAAAAAGCCCTAAACAAATGAACAGTGTTAGATGAAGATCAGGACAGAAGAAAGAATCGTTGTTCCCAGAAGCTCTGTTGAGAAGGGACAGGAGGTCCTCTGGAGTCCCTGGCTTTCCCCAGCTCCCACAGGACACATGGGAAGGGAGAGAGCCTTTCTGGGATAGGACAGAAAGAGGTTTAGAAATATTTGAAATTGTTTAAATTTTCTGACAAAGTGAGGAAAAAGCAACGTATTGGAAATATACAAAATAACAAATGGTCCAAAGCAGGTACATATAAGCACTCCTATTCACACTTTTCACATAAAAAGAGAACAACGGGACAGTCAACAAAGTCGAGTGGCGGCACTCTTGCAGGGATAAACGAAATGCTGTTGTTCTAATGCACAGTGCATCATCACCCAGGGAGCTTGCTGTTCTAAAATATCTCTGAAATCTCAGATGCAGAGAGTTTCCTGAGAGGGACAGCAATGTACCTGACAGGACATTTGCAGTTATCTTTGCTAAATGTGAGTTACATTAGCAGTGAGCAATAATACGAGTTTTTAAGAGAGAAATTCACATACAAACAAGAATAAATGAAGAGGGGCAAACATCCCCATGAGCAGACTATTCCAAAAATTGCCTTCAAAGGAGTATCTTGTTCCTCCTTCCTCTGAAACACTTATGTTGGCTGTCAGCATGCTCAGAGTCTGCAGAAGATGAACTGCTTCTCCCTGTCCCTTCTAGCTGCCTGCTGCAGCAATGCTTGAATGCTGGCACTGCCTTCTGCCCAGCACGGCCTCCAGTCTCCATACATGGTCCTGCTGAGCAAGACAGGGATTTCCACCTTTCTTCCAGGAAGGTGGCTTGCTGTATCCCTGAGGAACTCTCCTTGAAGGGCAGAGAAGTTCTGGGGTTCTCTAGCTTCAGATTCTCACAAGCAGCAGCATCTGACTTCCCAAATCCAGCTCCCCAGATCGGGGTGTACTGTGGTGGGTAGTGGAAAAGGCAGCTGCTCTGGTGGGTGCCGCATCACTGCTTGCTCACTCCTCGTAGCCAAGGAACATTTCACATCCCCAGCCGTATGTGCCTGAGAGAGGTAAAAATAATCTCGCCTTTTTTCACTGACATGCAGCAATATCTCCTAGTCCTCACTGAAATGAACTGAAATTTATCTCTGTAACAATTCTGCCTAATGATGGGAACGCATGTTATTACTGATACACACCAGCACACCTCTGGGAGTGATCCTACCTGGATAAATAGCGGTGAAGGTCAGCCCTGGGGACGGGGCTGGGAAACATCTTGACAGCTCATCCCTGAATTTAAACAGAGCTGACAGTTCCAAAACTGCAAAACCTTCCCTTTCATGGCCTTGTTCACCTGGGGTAGATTGGAGCTGGGGCAAGAAATCCAGGCTTTTGATGGTGTTCACAATGCTAAAATAAGAATGTTTATCTCACAAACCTGTATAGTTTGTGTCTGTACAGACATAAGCCAGCACTCAAACTGTCCGTCCCCCAGTTCACTAAACACTCCCAAAGGGCAGCATGCAGCTTGAACAAGTGACAATGAAGACCAAGACTTACCAGGACAGAGCAGGACAAAGTCCACGCCCTGCTGGTCATATCATAGTGACCACCACTGTGTCGGCTGCATGACCCATGGGACACCCCACGCTCTGTGCCAGCTGCCCCCAGCCATTCATGATGGCAGCTTCAATACCCCAACTCAGTACCCTCAGGCTGGCTCCCACAGCTGCAGAGCAGATGCTCTATTACCTGGGATTGAGTGCGCCATGGGGATATAAAGAAGCCTTGTGTTTTGTTGTTTCTTTTAAGACTTTATTTGTCTAACATGCTTGACCAAAAATTACAACAACAATCAAGTTATGCCAAAATGATTAAATAACCTTTAAGCTTTCATACCTCAAGTAGTTTAAATGATATTTTGAAGTAACAGCTGCTTTCATATCTTTTTCACATAAAAATACACAGTATTTTGAACATACCTTAGGAAAAATTATTTTTAAGAGAATAGTTTATGGTCGACATAGAAATTTTGTTGAGGCCAATAAAAGGACCTCTTCCCTCCACTTTCAGCATTTTAGCATCTTAAGTGCCATGAGTGAATGTAAACATTTCAGACTTCTTTAACATACAGCCAATTTCCTGCCACGTTTGTTTCAAAACGCTCAAATTGTGACTAGATTAGACACTTTAACTGCATGCTCTTGTTCATCTTCCCAACGATGGTGGGAGTTCACATTAAGCTATGAATTTTAGTCTTTGCTGAGTTAGGAGCTGATCTTGCAATTTCTACCCCAATGGATTTTACAAAAAGTAGACCCAGCTGAATTCAGTGGCGGACTGTTCTTGTGCTGTGAACTGTTCGCTCCAGGAAACCCCTGCTCATTTTTATGTTTGTTTTTTGCTTGTTTGCCTGTTTCAGGAAAAAGCAGCAAATCAGTTTAGATCCTAAGTCACACAGCCGCTCCAGGAAGTGACAGCTCTACGGCTTGCCATGTTTCTTGCTGTCAGTGGACCCACAGCACATCAGTTGCTGGCTTCGAATTGCACAGCTTCCAACATCCACTGGATGAGCATGCAGGAAACCCCCAAAATGCAGCATTTCTGCCTGCCTCCCTTAGAGTTGTGGCTGCTAGCCTGGGTTGGCAGAGCAGGAATTTTGATATAGATGCAGCCGCTACACCAAGCTCGCCTTCACATCCATACATCAGGCAAAAAGTAACCGATACTACCACCCACTGTGTGTGTGCACATAGGAGCTGTGCGCAGAGCTGAAAACAATCCAGTATTGATAGTGAGATGAGTTGCCTAATTTGTGTAAACAAGATTAATATGTAAATGCAGTCAGCCCCAAACACTGAAAGTCAGCATTCAGATTCCAGCAGTTAAATGATCTCCATCCAGGCAGAAATGCTGATTTGAGCATGGAGGTGTTAGTTCAAGGCAGAAACCCATTTCTTGTGGGACACATATGGAGCAAGTATTTTTGCAAGTTTGTAGACAGTTCTCTAGCTTCTGCCCAGGACTGTGTGGAAATCCCAGCAGACTCCACACCTCTGCTAACCTGCAGGAAAGCTGCACAGTTAGGATTGGTGCTAGCCATCCCCAGCAGCTCCTGACTTTGCCTGGATGCATCTACACGCAGCACAAGAGACAGATTTCAGCTGGGTTTATGGTTTTGTCTTGGGCCTCCCTCAACAGTGCCCATGAATGGGTACATGGCCATGACAGGCAAGCTCTTTGTGAGGCAAGCTCTGCTCTGTACCCACTGGCATGTACTCATCACTCACTGCACTTATGCTACTACACAGCTATCCAAAAATTGAATGCCCAAACCCCACCTTTGGATGACCCCTCCCCCTCCCCCTTGAGGTCCATACAGTTTCCCAAAGGACAAAATGATCACAATGACATTCAGTCACAGCTGACATGGGCCAAATTCAAAACAGAAATCTCACTATTGGCTGCATATACCAGCAACAAGTTTTAAACAAATAGTCCCAGTGGGTTTCATTTAAAATTTCAATACTGACCAATGGGTTGTTGGGTGTTGTTTTTGTTTTTGTTTTCTTTTTACAGACAATCACGCATTGCCTTACCATATGAAAACACAGTTATACTCCTTCATTTTTTTAAGGGAAATGTCTTTTTTTTTTTTCCCCCACAGGCGAAACCAGCTTTCAAATTCCTGAGTTTATACTGCACTTAACACAGTCTCCCTTCTCCCTTCTTAGATTTTGAGCTGTTTAGAACATGCTGGCAATATGCATCTTTTCCCTTAATGCCAGATGTAGCAAACTTCATTTCAGTACAGTGAATTAAGACCTCTATTGCATTGGTTTGGAATAGATGCAAGGACTCAAGACCTGGAAGGCTTGAAATAATAGCTTTCCTCTTGTGGCTGGTCATTTATGAAGCATCTTTTGTGTATCCTGTGTTAAGGGAAAACATCTTTAACATCACTTTTATCAAGAGCTCAATGGGAAACATCTGAAATGAGGAAATCCTAGTCTAAACTCTGTTTAAACTGCAAACTTTCTTGAAGAAACATTCCCCTGAAAGACACTGTTCTTTTAGTTAGTCCAATATAATGTACGGTATATACAAAAGTCCCTACTTGAGAGAGAGAGAGATGTATATGTATATAGATGTGGAATGCATTCACTTTTCTGTGTTCACAAACATTTTAATGGTGATATGTCTTTAATCTGTTTCTGGCACCAAAAAGTCTTTGTTCATCATCCGTTTTTGTCACTCAGATTTATCTGTGAAGAGCTAGCAGGAAAAAGAGAAGAAGGACTTTTCTTGTTGAACAGTTCCCTATTGGGATTCTCAGCCAGCAATATAAAGTTGTTAATGTGTTGGGCACAACATGAAATCCTTTATTATAATCATGTATTCCTTGGAGTAGGTAAGTCAATAATTATAGGTGGATTTAGTGGCTGGTAATTCACAGTGCACACAGAAGCATTCACGTAGGTAGTAGTTCCATCAGCCATGACACCATAACCTACAAAAAAAGAAGAGCTCTAATTACTCTTATTATTCATCTTTAAATCATTTTTATTGTTTATCTTTATCACATAACAATGATGACTGGCACGTTTACTATTCAGAAGGTGTTTAAAATTTACCTTAATGCAAAATGTGAAAGTCTCTTGGATGAATACCATCTTTGTTTTACAGTAGAACATTCTGCCTTACAGCATAAGAAAACAAAAACTGACCCTCACTAGATAGAGGCTATCATCTCTGGCAACCTGCCCCCCAAACCTCCTTATAAACATTGGTATTTCTCTTTGAAAAGCTGTTTTCTTCAAACCTCTCCAGTTTTAGAAGGGATTGGAAGACAGAACTTAGACAGTTTCAGCACTAAAAAAAAAAATACTTCATTTAGATTTGCAGACATCCATGCAAAAAATTTTGGGCAATTTTTCTTCTTCTACCTTTTTTTTCCGTGCTGTTTTGTAAATATTTTAAGCAACTGATGGAGAAAAAGGATGATGTGACCAAGGGGAGGATGTATGCATATACACATGGTTGGGCTTGGTCTCTGTAGGAACCTCTCCCCATGTGTTTGATCTTGATGACTAATTCCAATAAAATGTGATGGAAAGATTGTAAAATGTCAGCCCAGGAAGAGAAAAATGACTTCATTAATACATTCTTTGACAGACAAGGTGAATTCCCCCCCCAGACACTGTAACATTTCCATAGGAGAAAACACCTCCAGAATGTCTTACAAGTAGGGAAAAAGTTTTAACTACATCTCATGTCTGACTAGACATTCAAGACACTCTCAGAGCTAAATCTGCAGGAAATCAAACTTCCAGTTCTTAAGCTTGTAGAAATGCAGTGAAATGCTGTTTGAAAAGCTGAAGAAAAAGCCCCTGGACTGAAAATTAAACACATTGTCCACTGTCAAAAATATTTTCATGTACGTCTAGGAGAAAGCATGAAAGCATGAATTGATAACACTAAAGCTTCATGTTGAAAACTTTCATTGAACTAAATGCAAGTATTATGATCAACATAATGAAATGCATTCACAGTCTGAAACACATGATTTTGGGAAAATTAGCTAGTGGAAGGCTTTTGTACTAACAACCAATCTTACTGTTAATAAAGTTAATAGTGAAACATATTCACTGCTACAAGGGTTGCTCCTATTTCATTATGCTGGTGCACAACGTCAGAGGCAGGTGATGGTGGTATGGCAGTAAAGGTTGAACTTTCCCAACAATATTCCATTACTGTGTGACATGGCAGCAGAGGGGCAGTCTGACAAAATGGCACCTGACATGAAAGTGCAGATGTAGGAAAGGTGTGTCACTGAATTCCTCAAAGTGGAAAAAATGGTACCCACTGACAATCATTAACACTTCCTGGACGTTTATGGAAACCAAGCAGTAGATGTGAGCACAGTGAGGTGGTGGGTGGTGCATTTCAGCAGTGGTGACAGTGATGTGAAAGACAAACCACGTTCCAGATGGCCATGAAGATTTTTATGAGTGTGGCATGCAGGCTCTTGTTCACTGCTGGCAAAAATGAATAGTTAATGGTGGTGACTGTGTTAGAAAATAGAGTCTTGTAGCTGAGAATTTGCTCTATCACATAATGTTATTGTGCTCTTTGTACCAGTTTTAGTTTCCACGGAAATAAAAAAGGAGGCATTACTTTCGGAGTGACCTATGTGCACTGAGTTAAACTATTGCTCTCCTGGGTACATAGGATCCTAGTTTTTTCTGAAAGCAATTCCATGTCTTACAGAAGCACTGTTAATTGTAGCATTTATAAACAAAGATCCTTAAAATACCCTGAAAAATGCAGGGCCTCCTGGACTCCCCATGGAAAAGCCACATTATAATTAGGGCATAGGGAGGGAAGAGAACTCTGTCAGGTTCCTGTCACAGACATTTCTTTACATCATGTGCTGTTTGCCACAGAACAATCGTCCTGTGTAAAACACAGGCTGCACCAAGGACAGTCTGCATTGCTGCTGGGAGTTTCTGTCTCCTCAGCTACACATTTGGAGAGAACAAAATAAGCTTGCTAAAACATTCTTTTTGCTGGAAGATTCATCACACTACAGTCTTCGCTCTTTCCTTACTGCCAGCAGAGTTTCCTTGGGCTTGACCTCCACCAAGCGCTGGCTGTAATTGGCAAAGCAGTATTTCAGCTGGAGCCCCTGCCAGGCATCTCATCACCACCACGTCAATCAGCAGCAAGGCCATGTGGAGAGGTATTTTTTGGCAGAGACAGCTGTGCAGAGGGGGAATAGGGAAGAAACATTTCTTCTAAGCATCTCTTCCTCCTGGATATTCAGTAAATGACTGCTGCAGATGTAGCTATGCCAGTCAAGGGAGGAACTCATCTGTTCAAATCATGCATTCTCTCTACAAAGAGCAGCTTCGTTTGCACAGCCTGTCTGCAGTGGGAATTCTCCTCTGCAGAGAGTTGCCATCCCACTGCAAAACAGGCTATGCAGCTCCCCATTTGTTTTCTCTAAATTATGGTAGTTGATGGGAAGAGTACCTTGTTTCTGTGTTCTGATACCTGCTGTGCCAACTTACTAATTCACATGATATACCATTACTGTGGAGGTGCCACTCATTTCACTTGGGAGCCAAAGTTGGGCTTGGTCTTAGCAGATGTGATTTTGTTTACCTGCCTGAAGCTTCTTGGCTCACCAACTGTTTGCCTACCTCCCCTGCAACTCACTTGGCCTATTTCTGAAAAGACAATGAGTTTGAATTGTAGTCACCAGCTCTCTTGTACAGATTCTCAAAGCCTGCTGTAACAGCAAGATATTAGGAAAAAATATTGCCTATGCACTGCTTGTTTGCTCTGTACTTTTAACAACAATTTGGACATTAACAGGTCATCACAGATGAGAAAAGAGAATGAACTTCATTCCTGCCCTCTAAAATAATGATCTCAGTGACTTCTCTGTCAATTTTAAAGCAGCACACCTCTAACCACTCTTAACCTAGCAGGGTCAAGACTCCAAGCAGAAAGTCCAAGTGGGATTTTTTGTGAAAGGCAATAATTCTTCGCAAAAGCAGAAGTATCAGAGTGCCAGTTACTCCAGTTTTTCCATTAGTTCATTCCTGCACTGCTGAAACCCACTGATATCCTACACTGAAGTCCGGAGCAATCTCAGAAGCAAAAACTGGCAGTTGTGGAGCACCTTTTCCTGCCAATCAGTTAACACTGCCAAGAGCTAAGTAGCTAATAATACAAGCTGACATGCCGATGGGCACGTTTCTGCACAGCCCAGTGGTTTCTTTTGGTGGGGGCATGCTTGAAGACTTACTGCCACTGTACGTGCACTGGAACAGACTCCTCTGGAGCAGAGGGCATCTACCATACCCTTTGCCTGGAGACAAACTCCTGCTGTTCCTGAATTCAGCAGCACACATTTGCTAACATTTACTGACTTTGTGAAGAGAACTTACTTATTTCAGTTAAAAATTAGTCAAGAGAAATGTCGTGTTTTGTCCGGCTACAAAACATTTCCCCTGCCAAAGCACATAAATACATGAATAAGCATCTTTGTAGTTCTACACAAGTAAGTGGTGATATTGCTCTTCATTTTAAATTCATAGAGAGAGAGAGAGGGAGAGACAACTTTTATTGTCCAATCTTAAAGAATAGGCTTCAGAAGTACCCCCTAAAGAACTCTCACCCATTTTAAAAACACAGAAACAGAGACACAAAGAACTTGCATGAATTACCTTAAGTCACAGAGTTTCAGCAGAGGAAAATACAATCTATCGATCTTAATATTTAGTCCCTTCCTGCAACTACTGCACTGGTGTCATTTTAAAACTCACAGTAAGCCTCACTGTGAAGAAGGCACCACTCTATTTTATAGATGAAGAAACTAAAAGAGAAACTGAAGTACAAACACTGAAATGTGAGTATCAGCCAACTTCATCTGCATATTTGCAGCTAAATAAGTATCTGAATTCCAAAAGTGCTACTTCAGACATTCAAGTTGAAAAATACTGGTTAAAACAGACAAGTTCTGTGCTTGTGGGTTTCAAGTACATACAGAAAGAAATGTTTTCTGACCTTCATGGATATGTCCAAACACATGAAGCCTTGGCTGTATTCGTCTCTGGACTGTGTTCAGCAGCTCTACACATCCTACCCGTTGCATTTTCTTAGGTACCCAGTCTAGAAAACCTTTGGAAAAGAAAGGAAAGCTTTAAAAGAAGACAGATTATTTGCAAAGCTGCACTGCTGTAGTATTCAAAAACATTTCTGAGATTTAACGTCTCATGGCCTCTCATAAGCAGTCAGAAGAACTGACGTGGCAAAAAATGGTGTTTGCTTTGGTAAGTAGAAGAGGAAAGAAGGAAACATAAAAGCACATCTGAAGAAACAGGACTACGATAACTCATGCCAATAATTTTTCAAGGGAAAAAATCACTACAATTAAAACTATTTTTTTTTTTTTTGCACTGCCGTTAGCAGGAAAACTCAGTGCTTCATCCATTCTTCTTCCTTTAAGAGACCGATTATGATTAAAGAGCTGCATATCCAAAGTGAGTCTCTAAAGTTAAACACCTAAATCAACACTTAGCTGTTTAAATCCAGCCCTGGGATGTAGTTATTAAAACGAAACACTTCAACCAATATAATGAATTTGTGTGACTAATGATAAAACGACATTGTTTTCACACTGACTCTTCTGTTAGCGCAACGAGGTGAGGAACCCAGACCATGTCTAAGAGCATCCTCAAGTCAAATCAATTTAAGGGCTTCAGATAGCAGACGAAGCTTAGCCATCGTGCAGCAGATACATTTGGAAATGCTGTATTTACTCCCACAGATGTGTATGACAACATACTTTTTATGAAACAAAATGAGACAAAAATGTACACCAACTTGCTTCTATGCCCATAAACTTGCTGCCAGCTGAAGTGTGTTGCTTCCTTCACAGCTGAATAAGAATGTTATTGTGTTAGAGGCTTTGGAAGAAACCCCTCTTGCTTCCTTTCCATTGTTTGATCATTTTTGATCAGGCTCAAATTTGGAAATGTGAAAAATACCACTGTTCTGTTTTTCTGTATTTGTTCTGGTGCTCTCACTGCGTGCCTGTCATAGTTCTGCATCTCTGACTTAGACTGCTGCAACAGCAGGAATATATTGTGCTTTTGAGAAAACTGTTGTCAGTTAGGGAGGTGCAGAGTCTGGACCTCGTTTTCATATGTTTACTTTTGAGGTGCAATCAAGCATGGCTAAGTAGTATCTAACCAGCTGGCTTAAAAGGCCAGAAGTGTAGTATTCAGGCTCTTGGAAAAGCTTTCAGCTTTACTGGAGCTTCAGAGTAGGTTCACACATTGAAAAATACCTCTTCAGATGCCAGTGCCCGGAAACTGAGCTCAGTGGGTTTTATCTAAATGATAGAAATTTGCCCTGCTATCAGTTGTGAACTAGGTGTCATATAGTGGACGCTGGCTCCTAATTTATTCAGATATCTTTGAAGACGGTGCTTGGCAGCCAATGACGGGATGTACAAAGAGAAAGCCAGCTGAATTACAGACAGAGCACGTCAATGCACCCAACACACTTCAAAATTCACTGTAGGAAATAACAACTGTTTGAGATGTCGCAGTGAAACCAGCAGTTTTTCAGGGATTCAGTTCACATTTTTTTTTTCAGAGGAAACACGTTATAACTTTGGGCTTTGTTACTTCAACAATTTGAAACAGTTAATTGTCAGAAAGTCTGCGGTGAACATAAAGGGAGAAGTATTTCCACTTCAAAAACTTCACAAAAATCCATAAAATTAACTTCTCCATTAAATTAAGCATTATTTATGTTGAACATGTTTTTGTTTACATGCATTATCACCCTTCTGAAGCTTTCCCATATGTTAGCAGCTTATTATGTACACCTGACTACACAAACTAAGAATAATTGATTACACCTAGCTAACAATTAGAGATCATTTTAGGGTTTTTTTTTAATGTTTGGTTACTTTAAACAGGTTTCTGCAGCTGTCAGGAAAGTATAAATCTTTGTCACAGACAATCAAGCAGACAGCTAGAAATGAAGACTTAAGGGTGAAATTAAATTAAAAACAAACAAACAAAAAAAAGAAGTCAACTTCTGAAGAGGAAAGAATCATAATTGAAGATCTTTGGGAAAGGACTTTCAAAGTTACACTACACATAAAACTAACAAAAATATGCTGATTCAGAAATCAGCATTAGTGCTTGTAAAGCACCATATTTTATAAGCTCTGGGAAAAAAAAGATTATATCTTCGTTAGAAACAAAGAAGTCCATAAACTCTTAACGTTGCTTCTGCATCTAAATCGTGGGCAAATTTAAATCTATATAATAATGTAGTATTAATTAGTTTAGGAGGATGCATGCTTTTTGGAAGTGAAGGAATAAGAAAGCAGCAGAGAAAATGAATGACAGAATTTAGGGAGCCGTGCTGGGAAAAAAAAAAAAAAAAAAAAAAATTGAATTTGCAAGAGAACTGATTGCTTTACATGATCATTAGGAACAGCTCTGATCTTGCTATCTGAGATCAGAACAACAATAATCAGCTTTCTGGTTAAAATAATTAGCTTGGAGGGTCAAGGAAAATCCTGTCTCCCATACTGTCTGTGGACAAAGCTACACATTAAGGAGGCTCTGTAGATTGGGCACAGTGCTAATTTCTTTTGAAGTGTCATGTATTTGTTGCCATGAGTGTTAGGGATGCCAACAGCTGATGTTCTCAGGCAGAGAGTTCTGTGCTGTGAATGTATCAATACAAAAAAGACATAGATATGTGAACTTGAAAAAAGGAAAATCCTTGGAGGACAGCTCAGGCTTATTTTTATTATTAACACTAATAATATTAATAATAACAAAAGCAAGTGACTAAATTAGCACAGTGCCTGAAACTGAGTGGTGTGAAACTTGCTCTCTTCCTTCAATCATTGGTTTTCAAACAGGGACACAGGGATATTAGGAAGAGCTGAAGGCTCTTTAAAAATGGCTTTTAAAGTGCTGACGTTCCTGAAGAAATTTTAGAAACAGGAGAGTTATGAACAAGACAGTGTCAAAGATCCACTGTTACAATGCAAGCCTTGGATCTACATAGCGATTATCTCTGCTAATCATTTAGAGAAGATATATCAAGGTCTATATGACTCATTTCTGCCATCCACTTTTATGAGGCAGGTCCAGGTTACGAGCAGCCTGTGACACAGCATGAGACTCCAGTTTGGTGGAGCAGCAGCACACAGGCCTGCTCTGTGAGAAACTGAGCTTGCAAAGCAGCCCTTTCACCAGGATTAGTGAGCAGTGGAATGCAAACGTGTCTTTCTATAGGAAACAACAAAACACAAACCCTTTGGACACTTTCTGCTCCAGATTTTGAAAGAGAAGGAGAAAGGGTGAAAGACAAGAGGATTTTAGCTTCAGGAAATTGAAGAATGAAGAGAATCTAAAGGTTTAAAGGAACCAACTGCCTTCATCTTACACAAAATACTATTCTGCAGTAAGAGGCAGCAAAACATTTTAGTACATGCTACACATCCATGTCTAGTTATTAGTGAGAGTTAAATACACATAAGCATTAGACACAGCTTGCTATCTGTTAGATTTGTTGACAAATGTGTTAAAAAACAAAGCCTTTACTGTATCAGGACAAGTTTCTGTGATAATTTCATTTCAATAACACAGATCATTTCACTGTTATCCGAGAAGGTAAAAAATTTCTCCCATCTTGCTTTGTATCATCAGTACGCTTATTACTTGTAAAACACAAATGCAAAACTGTTTCTTGCAGGCCTGCTAGTGTTACTGTATTGTATTTAAAATAGGCAATTAACCCTATCCAAAGATAGGCCAACTACCACAGTGTTGGGGTTTGTGAGGCAGGAGATAAATCAAGTCAGCATGCAAATCCATGGTAGATAGGGGGGATGCCGGTGCAGGTGAGGGAGAATGATGGTGCTACAAAGTAATCCTGCATTGCTCTTCAAAACTGCTCCATGCTTCAAGTCAACTGATTTCACCAACCAGTGGCACCGTGGGCAAATGCGCAGGAAGACTGAACCTCACTTATTTATAAAGCTCATTAAGACCCAATTTATTAAGGCTTTATTTTTGTAGCCGTTATTTAATTCCCTACCATAAATTGTCAGTAATCACAAAACATAAACCTGAACTGAAGTTCTGGTGCTGCTGACATCGGTAAGGATGTTACTTTTGACTTTCGTAAGTCAGGTTTCCACTTTTTGTCTAAGGACAGCCAACAGTTACTGTATAATCATTTGAAATTCACAGCTAACAGCACTAATATTTTCTTACCGAGAGGTGGTCCATGTGTTATAAGAATATCTATCCCATCTGGAATAAGGTTCCACTTCTCTAATAATGCTTGGCCTCGTGGAAGATTAAAGCCCCAGCCATAAAACCAAGGTTGCCTGCCAAGAGAGGAGGAGAATGTCTTCAGTGCTACTTCCATGTATGGTTACCTAAGTAAAATATGGTGATTAACTTTCTATTAGCACGGAATCTGGAGACACAAATAGCATTCTTTTTTTGTGTGTGTGTATGTGCAGTGAAACTCTCTTTCTGTATAACCAATGTGATATAACTTGTGTGGAATATCCACATAGCCCTTAACAGATTCGGTGGCAGTACACAGTACAATGTTCACAGTTCACATTGTTCTAACCAGGTATACAGTAATTCTTACAACAGCTGAGTACCAAGACCCCCACCTACAGATTAGCATTCAGATTAGCATGCCAGATTCTCATGGTATCTAGAAGTACACCTGCCTCAGACAGCTAGGTATGGTAAGTGCTCTGCACTCAATCTCATCATGTTTGAGTTGTAGCCCACCATCATTTGAGCAGGGTCAGAACCCGGCACAACCACAAATCCCACTCAGAAGAGAGAAGGAGACATCACCTATGCTGTTTCGTTTCTCCAGTTGGAAGCACCCCATCAGAACAACACTGCTACTTTTCTTATATACTTTTTTTTTCTGGGTTTTTTTTTTTTTTTTTTTTTTGGTACGTGGAGTGGCTTTTAAGATGCTATCTATTTAGGATTTCTTAACATATGGGCATTTACTCTTTTTAAAATGTAGTCATAGAGCGGCTCATCATGGAGCAGTGGGACTGTAACACTTCCAGTCAGAACACAATTTATCCGTACCTTGGAGTCCCATTGATTAAAAAACTGTATTTCATGGCAATTATATCACAGTGGTAAATTATGTCTTGCTGACTATATTCTAATTCTAGGCCATAAAATTGAAGGGTTAGTTTTAGGTTGGAGTTTTTAAATAATTTTTTGACTGACATGTTCTGGCCATATCCATATTTGGAGAACAACAAACAGACTGCTGTGATTTAATAAGGTTTATGGTAATTGCAGCCTTGGTGTTTATAAATACATACACATAAACCAGAGCTCCCTTTGAGATGTTACTTTGTTGAAGAAAGCTTTACACTCCCTTGCTGCATCAAAAGACAGAAAGAAATCTTTTAAACAAATTCTCTGAACTATATTTTACATCATGTATGGCAAAGACAAAAGAAAATGCCCATGAAGCTATTATTCATCCTGTCCCATTACTGATGCTTGACTAACATTTCAAAAATTAGCACGTCTGCAATCTTCATGATGATATATTTTCCTCTTTTCCTTTTGGAAAGCTGCAAAGCACATGTCTATTGAAAACAGCTTAAAATCTAGAGCTGGATAAAATATAAAGCAATGTGGTTTACCAACAGGAAGAAAAGAAAATTCTGGTAAAAGGAAAAGCAGAAGGGGGCTTTTCCATTCTTTCTTCTACAGACTAAAAAAAAGCCCCAGCTTTTCTAGAGAGGTGACCAAAGGCCACGGGTGCCCCCAGCTAAGAGAGAGCTCACCTTTCAGCTTCTCATCACACAGCATTCTGGATAGCCAGGTGTCCCAAGGAGAAAAAAAACAAAGGAAAAGAAAAAAAAAAAGAAAAAAAACTTGGTACATCTGCCACTGAAACCAGAAGCATATCTCAGCCATTGGAAGTTGTAATGAGTGAGGTGAAGCTGTGTGAAGAAGAGATGCTAAGAGCAGCACCAATGCAGCAGAAACATTGTTCTGAGCCAGGTGGCTCAGACCAGGGTAGCTGCCTTCTGCAGATACCCATACAATTCAAACCCCACGTTTCTGGTTAGCTGTTCAGCTTCCAGCACGGTTTCCTCCTAGCAGGAACACAAACTGGCCCACAGAACATGACTTCTCCCTTCCTACTGCTGTGGTGATCACTCACAGTCTATTCACTGCTTTATTTTGCAGTAACTAACTTTGATGTGCAACACTGTCACACAAACCAAATCCAGGCCTGGGAAGACTGATCCTTATGCTCAGCTAATTACTAAGAGAATGGGAGTGTTTTTGTTTCACAGAAATGCTGTTAAAATAAAGAAACCAGAGCCTGCAAGGTGCTCAATGTTCCAGAAGTGGAAGGCTTTATAAAAATACACAGAGGTTAGGTTATTTCCAAACTCCCCATCCCTGCCTTGGAATCACACTTCAAGCCTTTACTGACAAGCAGCTTCCTTCACTAAGATGAACATACTCAACTATTTGGCAAACTGTATTCAGGCCCAGAGCAAGTTTTCCAGTCTCTGACAGAAAATACTTGCAAGGGCAATCAAGAGGCAAGCGAGGCGTCAGTCAGTCGATCCTTCTTTAGCCTTCAGTCACAGCTGAGACGCGGTGACTGCAGCCCCCTGCTCCCACCCGTGGCCCAGGACAACGCAGTCCCCATGTCCCCAAGGGATGCGGGGTCAGGATGCGTCCCACAGCCTGCGGCCTGCTGGGCACAGAGGAACTGACTGCTCCCTTGTAAAGAACCCAAGGAGAAAGATCAATATTTGCCGAAGAGAAGGTCAACAACCTCCAGAATCGTTATTTTAAGCACACAATGAAGCATTTATAAAGAGAAATAATCGTGACCGTCACAGGTCGCGACAACGCAATTTAATCCCGCTGAAATCCAAACGACTACGAATGGCACCATGCAGACGCGAGGGCCTCAACCTGCCCCTCCTAGGCCCAGCCCGTACATCGCGGCTTGTTAAGAGCCCGTTTCCCCTTATGAATAGGCATGATCTGCTTATTAAGATCCGCAGCACTTTCCCTGTCCCTGCCTCCCTTTGTGCCGGCAGCGCGCCCGCCCGAGCTGCGGGGCTGTAAGTTATGCATGCTGGAGCTGTTCTTTTGTGAAGGGAAAATGTTCGAACTTGCCTGATTTGCCATTAGGCTGTCTTTTGTGACAATCCCAAGATCGAAAGAAATGGCCCAAGTGTTTCAGGCAAAAATCGGGAGTCCAAGGAAGGATTCAAGTGGAGGATAGTAGAGTGCTTTATTCAAGAGAAGGAAGAAAAATCACGCACTTCAGTGCCCCCGCCCCCAAAGCCAAACCATCTTTATACGCACACAAGGATTTTATAAACCCCCAGGTCCCCTCTTCTGACAATTTATTGCAGAACAGCTATCAAAGTTTCAGAGTAGGAACAAAAAATCTCCTCAAATACCTACTAACAAGCCTGTGACCTGGATGTCATGCACAGATAACTTGGTCTAAGATTTCCATTTATGATGGTACCTGAAAGCAAAGCTGAAGTCTTAGTATCAAGCACAAAATTTCCAGATCCCCTTATTAGTACTTGCTGATGAAAAGCATAATGTTTTTATAATTATTTTTCAGTATTGGTTCACATTTTATAAAGAAAAGGATCTGCTGTATGTTATCAAAGAGAAAACCTCCTATTCTCAAAAACAACCAAAAAAAAACATTTTTGGCAATTAAAGACATACATCATGAATATAATTCACCTCTGAAGTGAAATGCTCATGTGTAGAAATGCACTTTGATTTAGGTCTTATCTTCTTAAATGGAACAGTTGCAGTCTCTCCATTTCCTACTGAAATTCAACAGCATTATTATTATGATAAAAATAATAATTGTCTACACATAAGACTCTCGGGGGAAAATATATTGGAAGTAAATTTGTTTACAGCACAATTAACCTTATGTTAAAAACATATGAACAAGTTTTACAGGTCAAATAATCCACCATACAAAAAGGGCTGAATTATCAGAATTTGTGCTAGCAGTCGGATGTTGCTTTATGTACTGAATTTCTATCTTTCTGTTCTAAAGTAACCATTGGAATAATTTTCTTACAGAATGATAGTTGCTATGACAACCATAGCAAATTTTCCTTTTCTGAAACAGATGTCTCATTTAGTTGAAAATTAGAATGTGAAAAACCCATGGGAAAAATTAATTCAAACTTTAACAGAACACTGACTACAATGTAATCTCTTATAGGTTAACCCCTTAACATCTTCCTGCACTCTTATAGTAACCTTCTCATAAATACTAATTAAACCAATTTAACCTCTTATGAATGACCTTCTTAGCTATCATTAGCACTTTAGTTGTCTTTGAAAGGAGCAATTTTGTTACAATAATAACTGAAAAAAGTCATATAAAAAAAAAGAGTGGTCAAACATATTACCATCTTAATTATTTATTACTTTTCCTTCTTTTATTCAGCTACTACTGGAAAGAGCTACTGTGTAGTCCAAGAATTCCTTTGTCATTTAAATGGGGCATAACTTAGTTTTACATGTGATTTACTGTAAAGGGCAGTGATGCACTACTAAGACTTGACCTGTAATTTATGTGAACACTGAAGGTTTTCAATTTTCAAACCACTGGTATACATCTCAATCTGCTCATCAGACATACAAGGGAATACAGAACAGGATACTTGACTGGCAAAAAACTATCTACATACATGCGTTTTTCTACTGCATGCAACAAGGTGGTAAATCTCCATTACCTTGATTCTATTTAAATGTTTTAACTTAACAGATTTTTTTCCTTTCTCTACATGGTACTCAGTCATAAACTACAAATGACCATGGAAAGCAGCCAGTGGGCAGTTAGAAAAAATACTCAAAGCACAGCATCATCCTTAGTGCCTGCAGAGTGCAAGCCACAAAAAGAATTTCAGGGCCGCAAGATTTACAGCAGCAGCTCCAGCTAGGCTGTCCGGTTGCTTAAGACAAATCCTGCCACCAGTAGGCACGCAATTAGTCTTGTTGACTTCAAGGGAAAACTCCCTTACAGAGTCCAAAATCCACAGAGAACTATGGGTGGCAACAGACTCAATAGCCATTAGCATATCAAAGGGAGCAGTGGGTAACATCTTGTGTACACCTGAATAGCAAAAAATACATAACTAGAACACAATCATTACACATTCTCATTTTTATAAAGCTTCCTACAGACAGCCTTTTTGCAGCTGAAAGGCAAAATCTCTAACTAGACTTCCTTCGCTTACAAAATAAATTTCAGTGGTTCAGCATGAACACATGCAACTTGTTTCAGTCTTTTCTCCACAACGGC